AGTGCTTAAAGGCAAAAAGAGATGGATTCAGAATAGCGTGGTATTATTTGGCTTCAAGCAGCTTGGAATGATGATTAATGCTGTTTGCCGCAGTGTTGGAGTAGTAGCTGGTGCTGGTTAGAGTGCATTAGTGAGTGATATGAAACTTGGGACTGGACCAAATCGCTAAAGCTCATTTGCTGATATTTCTCTCGTGATAAATGTTTCTTTTTCAACTGCCAGCAAAGTACTCAGCATCATTTAAATCCCTGAGGAAGGTACTCTTGTTCTGGAACAGAAACGAAGAGAAGCAGAAGCGGAGAGGGCAAAGTGCCCTGGGGACATGGATCACAGGGTCTTTTGGAATAGCTGTTGTTTAAAAACAGCGTTATAGGAAAAAAGACATGCCGTTCTTTGTTTAATATTCAGTCTTTATCACAAGTCAGGTAAACTGAAATCTCAGATGGAACAGTTTATAGACAAAACACAATGTTATTTTCATGTTTCTGTTTTAGGATATTTTCTCAGGATTGGATACTTCAGTAGTGCCTTTGACAGATATGAGTCTTGTGAGCCTTTTCTAAGCTGAGGACTTATACCTGTGCAGGTAAGATGGAGAATGAAAGCTGAAATAAGTAAGATATAACTAGAATTTTAATGCTAACTACTGTTCAGTTAAATTTACTCCCAGAGAAATTACCAGTTTACTACTGCAATACACTTCTTTGGTGATGGATAATTAGCACATTAGTTAGCATATTAAATGTACAAGTGTACTGTAGATATGGCTGAATATCTAGTAGTCATACATGGAGTTACTGAGAGGTGCTTTTAAAGGAGTTTGGAGTAGATAAATACAGAAGAGGAGGTTTTGCTCACTATTCTCCTCTGCTTGGTATGCAGTCTAGCTGATACACTCTCCTTTCTCTTTTGTGCTGGTTCTTATATGTAGTGTGCATTCTTCCCTGCTTTACTTTAAAGCTTTACCTTTGAACAAAAGTATGGATTTTGTTTGTTCTGTTTGGATAATTTCCTGAAGGACTAGTGAGCTCAGGAAAAGGTTCAACAAGTGTTAAAGCAGGACAAGCATGTGGGATTGAAAAGCGGGGAAGGAAGAAAGAGAGTGTGTAAAATTGGGTCATCCTGTCTTGTGAACCATAACTTCAGTTTGATTTACCCTAAAAAGATAAAAAGGAACTAAGGCTAATCAAATAGCTTCATGGGAATGCACTTTTTAAGAGCAGGGGGTTCTTCAGTCAAGATTCTCCAAGATCTGTTTGGAAATCTGTGTTGGAGATCTGTAGGAAATCTGTGTTCAGATTTAATTTAAAATATATGCCGCTTTTGCTGTTGAGGGCATTTCCTTATCACACCAATACAATCAGAAAAAAAGGATTTTCTATTTTCGTGTGAAGGTTGAACATACCGTTATGATATCTAAAGATGCAGGTTTTTAATGCAGAAAGACACTAGCAAATTCTGTGGCTAGTAACATGCAGTATATCCAGGTACTTGATAATAGAAGACTTCTCCTTTCTTGAAAACAAGACTTTTCCCACTGTAGTGAGCATTGGGTTTGGATTTCTGTTTTTGTAACTTTACACTTATTACCATTTGGAGGTATATAAAAAAAGAAAATATATCTATCATAATTATGCAGCTCTGAGGTTTTAAAACAAATGCTAGCAGATAGATGAGTGCAGTCTCTAAATCAGGGACTAGAGGAAGTGCTGAACAGGCATTTAAAATAGCCTGGAGAGGCTTGACACCAGCCCTTGACTGGGTGGTACTCTCAGTGTGCTGAAACCAAAGTAGTATGGCTGAGGGCTGTAAGAAACCAAGTTTCATTTTATTTCCTCACCTTTTAGTCATACATTCCTTACTCCAGCTCTAAATTTTAGGAGAACTGCAGTTTGTCTTTTCTATCTCACAACTGTCTATATTTCAAAGTGATCCAACCTTTCATTGACCAGTGCAACATGGTAGAAATGCTAGCAGTGAACATTTCAGATGGTACTTCCCTGAAAAATATGGACTTCCACCGTTTCTTTGTTTACCCAGGAAAATAGTCAAGAAACTGTCCAGTTAGAGGATCTTGAAATATAGTCAAATTTTTTCTTAAAAGAAATTTTAAGTGACTTTGAATCTCTGTACTAATTCTAAGACTCTTGGAATACCACTTTAACTTTCTCATTTTAGTATCTTTTTTACCTTTGTTCTTGCATAGAAGTATCCATTACATGGTAACAGAGTGCTTGATAAGGAAGACATTGATGTGATGTGTATCGACAATGGTATCAAAAACAACAATCTAAGAAAACTTGAAAAAATACATGTATTTTTGTTTCTTTGAGTCTCCAGTTACAGTAATCACAAGAAGTTATAAAAGTTACAAAGCATTTAGTTGTAGATGTTACGTATAACAATATTCTAGATTTTTTCATAGGAAAGTGCAGTACTTAATTTCTAAATATTCCTGTAAGGGAAAAGGTTGAGATTTAAAGTTACTTGACTTCACATAGTAGACGACCATGTTCAGTCTCAAGACAGTGCAGCTCTTTCCACAGGAATGGAAAGTTGCATATGTGTCCTCACTGGGAGTTAACACTGAATTCCAGATAGGAAATTTGAAAATAGTACTGTCTACAGTAACTTCTTTTTTCTTCTATAAGATAGAATTAACCTTAACTTGTAAAAGCAATATGTTTTTGCAGAAAGGTAACATAGGCAATTCTTAAATGCCTGTTCCCTATAAATGCTTAGCTGACACCAGTCAGTTAAGCTTACCTGGATACCCCAAGTTATCACAAAGTATGTATAGCTTCATGACCTCTCTATTTCTTGCTTTCAAAACCAGCTGCTGTATCTTGAAATGTGGTTCACAATTTATAATAAAGCATGCATGAATTAATAGGTGTCTCTGCTTTAGATTCATGACAGTACCTCCTCAGAAGAGCAGATGAAGGGAGCCAATTTTTCCATACTGTCCGGGGATGGGCTTTTGCTCACGGTGCTGTCATTACTTAACCAAAATATGCTGTGATCCCATGAAGAATTGATGGAATCTAGTAGGATGTGTAAGGTTGTGTCCAGTCATGTAAGTAGAAGTCTGTGCTGACTCTTGACTTTTCAGAGACTGAAATCCCAGTCCAGATTTGAGCAGAGATATGTCCAGCATAGCTGTAGGTATATAGATAGAAGTTGACATCATCTTGCATGATGCATTATGTGTAGGAAAACTTCAAATTCATGGGCTTCAGTTCAACAACTTCCTCAAGCTGAGTGTCCAGAGTAGACTATAGTAATTCCCCACAGTAACCATACCTTAAAAGCAACAAAATAAAAAAAAATATTCAGAAGTAAACATGCTTGAACATAGTTTGCTGCTGTAAAACATCACTGTGGTGTCAATGTAGTTGTAAAGTGTTTAAATCAACAAAATTGATTCCAGAGATTGATTCATGAGGTTGATGGGAATTTAATGTTAACTGTGTGCTAAATTGATCTTATTCTCCTTATACAACCAGTTAAAGAACTGAGCTCTTACACTGGTGATTGAAAGTAGACTTTTATTCAGGAGTCTGAAACCCATTCTTTCCTTCTCCTATTTCTGTGAAGTAGGAGCATGTGAGAGTGAAGTGGGTAAGCCTGATCTCCTTATCTCGGTGTCTAATTTAGATGCCTAAAATTAGGCAGTTGTAAATGTTACACTCCTGAAATCAGAAAAAACAATAGCATTCCATTAAAATGGCTACATCCAGAATTAGTTTTTCTTTTTCTTTCTTTTTTCTTTTTTTCAAAGTGAAGAGGGATTTTGATCCATATATTCCATTTAAATAAAGGAATTACATGGGGCTAAAGTTGTTCTCCAGCCCTCAAAATTCTTAAGCGAAATGTTGAGATTCTGTCCTTAAGTAATGGTAACAGCACATTGATTTTTTTTTCTCTTCAGAATATTCTCCTTTTCTTCCACAGTCACATGTAGCCACAGAAATATTTTAACTCTTTTCCTCATACATTCCAATTCAACACATTCCATTTATGAGAAAATCACATATGCTTAGAAATTTGAGGTGCGAAAAAATACCTATGTCAGAACTGATACAGCCTTGTAATATAATAGGGAGTAGTAGTGAGACCAGGGGTACTCAAAGTCCCTTGAGTAGCAGTGAAACTGATGAAGACGATGACTTGAAGCACTGCTTTGCTCTGCCTATATGAAGGAAGGAAAAATGGGAGAGGAGTGGAAGAAATTTGTTTGCATCTATGCCCATATAGTACGTATTTTCACATAGATCTTGTCTGCTTATAAACTCAAAGCAGTTAGAACAGATAAATACTTTATATAGTGTCATGAACCAACATATCCTAAAAATCCATGTGGTAGTTATTGAGTATGCTGTGGTTATTGAATATGCTGTATAGAAAGATGGGCTTTATATCTCCATAGGGTAAGTCTACTTGGAAAATAAGGATCAAAGCTGGGAATTTACTTTTCTAGCTCATAAGGTCTACCCATCATTATTTTAGAGTTTAAAGAGGTCCAAGTCATGTTAAATTTTCATCTGTTTTGTAAATTAAGATCTTGGTAGCATACAGGACTCCAAGAAAGTTTGTCTTTCCTATGCATGTCTGCATCTCGTGCTTTTTTCTGCCCTAATGAAGTAATGCAAAAGTAAAATCTATGCAGTGTCCGAATGCAAGAGTTTCATAGTTTTTGGTAGTAAAACAATTGGTATATTCTGTGGAAAGACCACAGAATATTTTTGAAGTGCAAAGAGAGAATACAGAGGAGCAGTATCCACTTGTTTTTTAAAGAGCTTATCTTCTACAGAAGCAGTGATACCAAGTGCCCCTTCACTTGAGTACTCTACATGTTTAACTTACAGCACTGAATACTTTTTGAAAACAAACACCAATTATCAATTTAAAAATTATTAAAATATGGAAATTAAAAACCTAGGAAAAAGGGAGAAATTATCAGATTCTGACAGACTTCAAAAATAGAAGATGGTACCTCTTTATGATGTGTGTTTTTTCATTAGGCCATCAAAAATTATAAGACATGTTCTCAAATTCATTTGGACTACTTCCCAGGTGCAGTGACTGTATTGCTTATTTTTTAGGAAGTTGGTGATTCTTTGGAAGTACTTTTTCACCCGGAATGTAGTGCTTTTTATGATCCGTGTTTGAAAGCTGTTTCTTGCTTTTGATTGCTCTTCTGACAAACATATCTCTAATTCTTCAATCTGCTGATGAATTCAATTTTGGAATTCCTTAATCTTGCTCGTATTCCAAGTGCCAACAGGAAGATTTTTGCTGAACAGTTGGAAGATCTGTTGGAGGAACTCATAGATGATCACCTTGACATTCTTCTGTGTGGCCTTGGTTATCTCCATGGGGAATCTGAAGTCAGTTGTTTTGCTAAGACACTGCTGAGGAAAATAGCCACCCATTTTGCATAGAAAGTTTGTGTTGTGGTAGTTCATTTTGATTCCTTGGAAAAGGCAAACTGGATGCGAGATTTTGAAGTACAATGCCAGCGTAATGCAAAGTCAAAGTAAATTTCTCTGAACAAAGATGGTCATACTGATGAAGTGTAGTCAGCACTATTTTCCTTGCCTTTTTGCAGATCTGTAAGCTTGCAGTTTCTTGGTTGTCTTGTCTGTGCTCACATGCATCTCTTTCATGTCTCTGAGTTTATTTTCTCTGTATGACATGCTGGGTATTACTCATTTTTAAGGAGTTGCCTTTTTATCAGCTGTGATCCTGCCAAGTTTTACTGTTGATTTTAATTTCAAACAGTTGCAAAGGTTCTCCCATTTCTGCTTTGACTGTACTTAAAAAATAGTATGTGAGTCAATCTGGTCAGTCAGAGGACATGAACAGATTAGCAGATTGGAATCTGGTAAGGGCATTTCATCTTTTCATCTTTTCGTCTTCTCACTAGAACAGGCAGTCTTGCTTTATGCTGAGAAATTTTACTTCTATGTTTAAGTTGGCAAAGACTGTGAAAAAGAATAACATCCCGATCTAACAGGTATGTGCTGTAAGCAAGTCTTGTAGTAGAAGTGCAGGTAGCTACCAGCAGGTTAATTTTAAGTGCCCAAACCCGTCTCATCCTTTTGTGGTGACAGTTCTGAGAGTGCTGCATAAGCACTGTGGCCTGAAGTGAAAGTACTTGGTTGATTCCTGGGTATGCTATATCTAAGCGCCATGTTTCTAGCTACAGCTGGCTTCCTCTAGTGCAGTAGCAGCCCTTTTAACTGGTTCCTGTAATCACAATATGAGAACTCACTGATGATTTAAAAGGAAAACTTGGTTGAATATTAAGATAAGCAAAAGTTACACGGCATTTAACAGGCAGATTTGCTTATCCTTTTGTGGGAATCTTCAAGGATTGCTAAATCTGTATGTGAACCAAAGTGATTTGGTCACTGAAGCGTACAGAGTTTAGAAAGCCAGAGGATATGCTCTTATGTAATTCAGCTTGCATAATTACAAGAATATTTGAAAAAGAATATGGAAAATGTTGAAGCTCAGGAATATTTGATGTAAGCAGCACAGGAACTACTTGGATACTCTTGACATTAGGAAGTATTTTGTTAAAAAAAGATCCTGCTGATGCTTGGAAGGACCTGTTACAATATGACAGACTGAAAGATTGCTATGGATAAGCAGTTTATTTAGCAATCCACAGGATGAGTTCAGCAGTTTTACAGTAGGACCCTACTAATACAATATTAATGCTCCTGTGCTTCTAATATATCAGTGCTTCTTGTTCTGCTACTGCTGATGCTAGTGCTGTAGTAATATTGTGGTATTGTCATAAATTATCTACATCAAGCGATTTTCAGAGAAGTTAATTTATGAATGAAGTTGTGGGGAAGATGGTGTTGTGATTAAAAAAAAGGTTACTGAAGTTTGTACTGGAGGAATAACTATTAATTCTCCTGAAATGAGATCTATTACAAAAGATCCCATGACATGGAATGCATTTACTAGTCATTATACACACACTAAAGCAGCAGCAAATATGTTTCTTAAGTTGTTTTTTTTTTCATGTTGACACAAAGTTAGTGTTAAAAAAGACAGTAGAGCATTTATTTTTTAACAGGAAGTTTGTGTCAGAAAATTCTGGCTTTAATAGACTTGACTGAACAGAATGAAATTAAGTAGCAGGCTGAATCAGATCTTGATGGATGGGTGTTAGTATGTAGCGAGAGCTTAGTTACCTGTGGGTAGCTGAGATGGGTTCATTCAAGACATCACATTCATGTCTAGGTTACAGCTACAGTAATTGCATTAAGATTGTCTGTACAATAATGCCAAAGAGATCAGAGTCTGATCCAAAAGCTTTAACATCAGGAGCACAGTTTTCATGTCTGACCATGGTTTTCATAGTTCAGTTCAGAATTAAATGCTAATTCATCTCACCTTTAATTTGGTTCACCCTGCAGTAAAAATCTCAGGACGAAATTTCGATTTGGTGTACATATGCATGGCTTTGTTGCATTAAATGGAGCAACACTTGATTTAAATCTGATGAGGACCAGTCCTTTCATATACTAAAGCAACACAAAAAACAGCTTAGTATTGTATGGCAAAGCTGGATCTGATTAACTGTTAAAATGATTTTATTCTGTTTATACACTGGAGAGCAGAGTCACATCCCCAGTCATCCCTTGTTTTTCTTCCATATGATTTCATAGGTGATCCATGAGCTATTTGGATATTGTAGAAAAATAGTAAAATTTCAAGAGGAGATTAAGCAATAATTAAGAGACTTTTAGCTGTTATTGGAGAAACTGAAGAAATTTTCTTTTTTCAAAAAAAGGGCAACAAGGGAAAATCCATTGACAGTCTTTGATGAGCTGATTGTAGGTGGTGAAGGAGAGAATTTTGGAAGAACCTTTTGGCCATGGTTAAGGATCAGAGACCTGTTGACTTTGTGCTTCTCATCTAGGAACAAGTAAGGGTGATTCCTTCCCAGCAAAGGTGAGCTGCCTTAACACAACACTATGTGTAACTCCCCTACTTTGAGGACATCTGTTTTACCCACATGAAGATTGACATCTTCTAAATTAAAAGTCTCCTTCCCTGAAAACATAGAGGATGAAGAGATATACACATCCACACTGAGACCCACCTCACACCTTTCTTAACCCAATGTTCCTGCAAAGATGGAAATACTTTACCAATAGAAATGGGAAGAATGGCTTGAATGAGCAAATCGATGAGACTGAATATATTTATTGCTTGGGTTTGTTGAAGTTTTTTTAATAATAATAATTTTTAAAATCACTTCATTACAGATTTTGTGTGCCTGTAACAAGTGTGAGCATCAAAATGTCTTGATGTTGTACTCATTTAGTCTGTCATGCTTCAGTGAAGGCTAAAGGACTTTTCTTGGGCTGTGAATCCCAAAGCAGCTGAGGACTTGAAAATTTTGTGGCTTGGGTGGGAGTTGAAATCAAAGTTCAGAGGTTAAAGCTGAAGCAACAGATCTGGTGCAAAGGACTAGGAATCAACTGAATAGAACTCAGATCTCAGATCTGAATTCACCTTGGTGATGCCTAGGTTCAAAGTGTCTCTTAGTTTGCTAATATTTTAACTGCATCTTTACAAAGTAGATATACCTAGTTACTACATGCCTTGAGAGTGTTATAGGGTATTACCCAAGCTCCATGTAAAGGTTGTCTAGTGGAAGTGTGAGAAGTGCTGAAAAAAAGGAGGAAAAAAGTATTTGTGGGGCCTGCTAAATGCAAATCAGTGTGGAGTCTGGATGACCCTAGTTTCTCAGAGAGGGGCCACTTCAATTTCTGGATTGTCTTTGTTTCACCCAGTATTTCCCTGTTTGCTTGTTTAAGAAGTAATGTGATAAACATTGTTAGTTTATATGATAAAAAACTTGCCTGCATGCCACAGTGTGGCACAGAGAGACATTGGCAGGTAGAGGAGCCTGATTAACACTTGCCGTAGCTGCTCCCAGCCCCAACAGAGGAGCCATCAACCCAACAAAAGCCCATCTCTACAAGTCCAGGAGAGCACAGGCCCACAGTGCCAGGCAGGAACCCAAATTAAGGACACAGAGGAAGGGACCCTTCTAGGATTGTCCTGGGGGAGCCTCACCCCCATGGCATGGGAGAGAAATGCATCAAGATGAGTCAATGCTGGAGCACCTTATGGACTTCCTAGGGGTTGCTGCTGGGAGGTAGGGGATACATTAGGGGATGCAGAGGAACAGCATTTCAGGATGGACTGTTAGTGGAGGAAACAAAGGTAGAGAAAGGGATAGATCTGGGTGATTTGGGAATGAACATGCATGTGAAAATAGAGTGATGAAGGGATAAAAAGGACTGGTCATGTGTAAATAGCAGCTGGTCAGTACATTCCTTGTGCCTGAACAGCAGTATGTCCTCTCTTCTTAAGAAACTCCATTTCTAAGTATTTTTCTGGTTGGGGGACTGTATTCTGTAGGTGTGTGTGAGTATGGGGTCTAAGCACCTAGAGTCAGACCACAGGTCAGAGACCCCATGTGTCTTTGGTACCAGCAACTGGAGAGACCACGATGAGTGGACTTAAGTGCCAGCAGCTGGACTAGGACCAGGGTTCAGAGATCTGTTTGTGGTGCCAGTGACTGCAGACAGTGAGGGTGTGAGTGCTGCAGAGTATTACAGGCATTTTATCTCAGCCAGGGACCAGCAATTGCAGTAGGAAATCCACAGTCTCATCTGAGTACTTCTAAAGTACTCATCTCACCTCATTCGTGTTATTGAGGGCTGTACAAGTGGAGGAACACTTGCAGGGCTAAGAAAATTGATCTTTATTGGAGTGTCTGCCATGGGGAAAATGTAGTGGTCATAGCCTACCAGAAAAACAGAGGTGGAATACCCTACAAGAGCTGATTGGCTTTCCAAGGGAATTTCCATCTGGCTGCACTGTCAGACTCTTTGTGTTAGGTTTTTGTGACTCTGGTGTTCTCATCTGCTTGCAATCAATTCTAATAAACAATTAGACTGGCATTATTGTTCATCTGTCTGTAAAAGGGTCATCATGGCAGCCAATAAAATGGCAGTCATGAAAGCATCTCCACAGTGATAGGAGATGTAAAGTCCCTAATGCTTTCTCACTTGTACTAGTCAGAGCTGGTCTTGTTAATATTGACTGTTTGTGTGGTAAAATAAGAAACCAAAATGCCAGACTAGATTCCAGAAGAGAGGCTCACTTAGTTTTCCTGCTAAACAGCATTTTTTTTTTCTGGGAAGAGTGCAAAAATCGCTCTATTTCATCTCTCAGATATAAGAAACCCTTAGGCCTCAATCACAGAATCCAGTGAACATGATAGGGAAAGCTCTGTCTAGCCAACTTTGTTACACCCAGCTGCAGAGGAAATGTT